GTCCCCTTACTATCGAGTATATGCTCTGAAGTTCTCCAGAAAATTAAAACTTTGAAATGAAGTCTAACCCAGGACTTAGAGAGACTCACTGACTCCCCACCAGAATGACTAGTGGGACCTCACTTTATCAAAACTATTAAACTGTCAAAAAATAAATAAGAACATTTATTTTTGTTTCTGTACGGGTATTACTCTAAGTTATTCGAATAAAACAAAAACTATCCAGTATCAAAGCCTTATTTCACTCCAGGGTGATAGCAGGACACCCCATCTAATCACTCAGAGAGAATCTGGACAATCTGATGTACAGTTTCAAAATAAAAGACCTTTGAAGTCTCATATATGAGCTATCGTCCTTCTGTTTGTATCCAACCGTTCAAATGTTCGAATTACATTGAACCAGAATTGTCCCCCTTTTTTCTTTAACAGTGAAGAAAAGTGGATATGTTAATGATATATTGACCGCAAAACTCAAAATGTCCCCGGTTTTAATTTTGAAAATCTGGTCACCTTAATCTATATGGCGCTGGCTATGATAAGATAACTTTAACAAGATGCCTGTGTGCTTAGTACCAGGTTGTTATCATACCAGCAATGTGTCTTGCTCGTTCTTTCGCTTCCCGTCTGATGAAAGGACCAGAAGTGGCTGGATCAAGTTAGCTACCTAGCTAGTAGCTAGCACGTTAGTTAGCATTACAGCCTTGTCATTTTTATTAGCCTTAATATGAAGTAATATTAAGTAACCCAAAATGTTAAACAGTAAGAGTAGTAGTCATATTTCGTGAACCCTTTAAAGAGTATTTTCACCGGTGTGATCATTCTATAATACACAATTTAAGCCCGGGGAGAAATGCTAACGCTAGCATCGGCGATCTTTTCTACTTCATGCTATCTGCACAAATGGTTGACAGTAAACATTAAAAAGACCAGGCAGTTCAGAGAGAATCAAAGGAAGGCAGGCAGGCAGCTTTGCATGACATTCTTCTGGACGTGTTTCATTGGGGTGATAGTGAGGGTAGTCAATCGTTTTGTTGACAAGACAGTAGCGATGGCCATCTTGGTGACGTGTGTTGTTATGCGAGACCAGATATGTAGTTCATTGAGCGTTTCGCACAAACAAATGTGTTACTTCAAAGTTTTACGACACATTTTTTTTCATTTGACAAAATTATCTTTTAAATTGACAAACATCATATTTGTAATTCGTGGCACAATTCAAACGGGATCGAAAGATAACCTTTCTCTCTCCATTGACTTCAATACATAATTTTTTCGGAATAAGGTCCCATGGAGGTCCACCGGAAGGGGAGGGACTTCGCCACTCTATAGACGCTGGAGGCGGGCAGCGTCAGGTAAAAAAAAGTGATTTAGCCTTCCCAAACCTGAGCACGCGCCGCCTATGTTGCTGATTATTTTTCTTCAGCATGATTATTTCAGCTGTATTTAATCAGCTTTTACTCCAAAGAGAGAATCTAAATCCATAAAAACCAAGAACTCTAACGTGATGCAGTGAATACAATGTGATAAAGGGGATGTTTAGACATTTTATTGTCAAAATGTTTTAAGCAGAGAATCTTCAGGTAAAAACTGTAGACATCACCATAAATATTACCCAGTTAAAATGTACAAGTTTAGTTTGAATATGCAAATGAGGCATTCTCTAATGCTATTTTTTATGAGTTTGGGAGAAATCGAGGGGTAGAAATTCATAAAATTTAAACTAATTAATTAAACTAAATGTGTATTTTGGAGTAAATTGCTGAGTAAAGTCTCAAATGTGAAACAAATGGAAAAATGACCCTGTTCTCTTTATCTCTGCCCTTTAAAAGATGATTAAAACAGTCATGAGCCCTGAGCCCATCACACACTGCTCTATGAGATGAAGTGTGTGTGTGTGTGTGTGTTTGTGTGTGCCTCACCTGTTCGTACTTCTCCAGCTCGGTGTGGTAGATCTGTCTGATCTGGGTGAGCTTGGTTCTGTAGTCGGAGTGCTCGGTTGAGTTGTCGGGCCCCGACCCCCCTCCTGAGGCCGCCGCCGCCGCAGCCGCCGCCGCCGAGCCCCCCCCTTTTTCCGGCCCGGCCACGCCCTCCGCCAGCAGCATGTTGTCAAGGCGCATGAGCTGGGGGTCCGGGGGCTCCTCCTCCTGGGCGCCGCGGATACTCAGCACTGCAACGACAGGAGAAGGTCAGAGGTCAGCCATGAAAGGTCCCACCTACAGCGGAGAGACGCTCCGTAACAAGCTGTCAGATCCAGCAGCTCAGAGTGATGCAGTAAGGTGGAGTGAAGAAAGACACACAGGCAGAGTGTAGTGTGTGTACAGGAAGGATGTGGCTAAATACTGGAGCAACACTTCCTTCCTTTGTTTCCATCACGCCATTTTGACACCTTAAACAGACAGCTCTAACCCGTTATCTTTCAATAGGCTTTACATCTTCTGATGATGTGTTGATGCTGTGCTACTCACGTTTGATCAAAATATAATAAAAAACGTTCCACACACATTTAACAAAGAAAATAGGTGTTTACAATAGTCAAAACCACAAGAGGAGGACGGAGTGGCGCAGTGGGCTGTGCGTTGATCATCAGATCAAGAGTGGCGTTGGGGAACACCAGTTCGAAACCCGCCCCAGCCGCCACTGCGTCAGGCCGTTGTGTCCTCATGCAAGACACTTCACCCGAATTTGCTTCTGTGGGTACTTTCCACAGTACATGACTGTTACATGTATGATATGTGTGTGTAATGTGTACTTGTAAAGCACTTTGAGCATCTGGAAAAGCGCTATAATAAATGTAAGGAATTATTAAGAGGAAACACTCAAATAAAAATAATAAACAACTTAGATTATCTTTCTTCCTTTTTCTTAGTGTAGGTTAAGGTTAATTTAAAAACGGTTAAAAACGGTGTCTCAACAGCGTTTTCAACATAGGTTGCCTATCTCTGTGTCTCTTGAAGGGCTGGCATCATGGGAATTGTAGTCTTTTATACTTCCTGGACTACAGCGGTCCCGATTAGGTGACAATATTTGGCCCTTTATACATAACGAAAGAATGGCCTTAACACTGAGAAACTAAAACTGATCCATTGCAAAATGACAATATTCTGATAATACAGGGAAATAGAGAGTCATTTACCTCCAGAAATACAGTAGGGCTGCAACTATTTTTTTTAATTAAATGTATTAAGTGACCTGATGTGACCCTTTGAAACTAAATGCTCCTTATCCTTACAGCTCAGAGCAAATGTGGATGTTCTCCAACAATAGCCTGGATGAGTACCACTGCCTTCCACTAGAGGTCTCCCTTGCCATTCTTTAAAAGACTTGAGTTCAACCTTCCATTTTCTGAGGTGCAAACACTCCCAGGCTCTGACTCTTCCTCCTCCATCTCAGAACCATCCATTTCAATATAAAGCACCTTCTCCTGTGTGGAGCGTGCTGCTGCGACATCCAAATTAATCCCAGAGTGGACGCTGAAAGTGGATCGACTGCGGCCCGCATTATCGTTACCTCCGCCGACATAAGCTTTGGATCTGAGACTTGACGCCCGACGTGTGTCGATAGCCATTTAAATGCTACCATTTGTCATCCGCCTCATTGTCATTGAATGAGAAGGGACAGGCAGGAGCACTTCATTAATTCAGAGACAATGGGAGTGCTTGGTGCATTAACCCCAGACTGCTGTCCGGGGTGGTAGGCCTGGGCAGGGGGTCACTGGGATGAGAATGAGGCCGGCTGTACTAGCAATCGCAAGAGGAGGGGGCTCCCTCAGTCACCCCCACCCTGTTTTTTTTTAAGTGGACTGGAAATGCAAATATGGCAACTGTTGGCGAGTGGAGGAGGTCAGAGGTTCAGGCCACAGGCTCAGCGGGGGGTAGATTGAGTGTGGGAGGTGGAGGAGAGTTGATAAGGGAGGGGGTCTTTGGGGATGGCAGGACTGTACAAACATCCTGTCTCATTACCCAGACTCCTTCATCACTCTGTAATGTATGGACAGGGTTGGGAGGATTACTTAAAAAATGTAATCCGTTACAATAATACCAAAAATCAGTAAACTAATCTGTCAAGAATAAAACGTATGTCACCTGATTACTTTTCGTTACTTTTGCATTACCTCAATATCAAATGCAAGAGAAAATAAATAAAAACAAGAGAAAAATAACAATAAGATGATTTTTACTTAAGTGTGTGTAACAATGTAACCTTAGAAAAGACGAAACCAAGATATTTCATATCAAACATGTAGTAACAGTAATAGTTCACAAATGCTGTTTAAATTTAATTCAGTAATAGAAAGTATACTGTATTTTTGTTTAATACATCAGGTGTCCACCTACTGCATTAAAAACAGAAATGTATTTAAAATAAAGAACTACACATGAACCAAAAATAAAAATTAATTCAGTATATGTATACCTATAATATATCCATCTTTATTTCAAAATGAATTGTAACCCTGTAATCCTGCAAGTAATCTCAATTTTTTTTAAGGAAACGGTAGTCAGATTACGTATTTTTGTATCCTGATTACGTAATCTGTTTACATGTAATCTGTTACTCTCCAAACCTGTGTATGGACGAGGCTTGGGGGGGGACCTCGGATGGCTTCACACCCGCCACTTCACCACGATGCAGCCGCGCTCTGACCCGATCAGACCTGCTTCATCAGAAACTCTACACCCGCCTGTCTGCTTCAGTTAGCGTACATCACCGAGGCCCCGCTGCTCCCCGGCTCCCGGACACTCAGCACGGAGAGGGGGCTTTTCTCTATAGTTACCACCTCATAAATACCAGACTAAAGTGGGTGTTAAAATGAGAGCACACCGCAATATCCCATGGAGGATAAAAATGAGCTGCACTTTCTGGAAGTCATTTTCAGAAGGAAAACAGCTGATAGCAGTAAAGGGGAAGAAAGAAAACTGGCAATTTCCACCAAAGCGCACAATAGAAGCTGCATTAAGTTTCCAGGTGATGGAACGAGATTAAAAAGATTCACAAAAGCTGCAACCTGAATACAAAGGTACACAGATAAAATGGCACAAAGTAGAACCAGCACACAAATGTGAAGGAGGAAGCTCAAGTCAGATGTTTTTACCGAAAAAACCCAAGGCTAGATTTCTTCCCTGACTCATAAAACGTCTAGACTGTCAAATGAAAATGGAACACAAAAATTCCCTGTGTCCAGAAGAGAGAAAAATAAAAGGTTTCGATTCACGTCTGCCAAGTTCCAACTTAACATTCATGAAGTGTTTATTTTACTTGGCTGGAAGCAATCAGTCTACATCAGTCTTATAACAGCGGCTGCAGCAAAAGAAGGTCATTTCTTAGGAGATCTCTCAGAAGGCAAAGAGAAAAGAAAACAAGTAGACTGACTTTTTCTTTTTGAAAGATGGAATAAAAAAAGGTAATGGAAAACAAACGACTGCATTCAACAGCGCTGCGTATCTAAGCGGGGGATTGTGCTCAAAATAAATAGGTAAACTGGCAATTAAACCAAACTCTGGCGTGATCCCCGGGCCTTGCTTGTTGACACATGTACACCGTCGCTAATCAGCCGCATATCACTTCCTCTCCTCGCTCACATGCAGCCCAGATCCCTGCTCCACTCTGGCTGCTGATCCAGCTGTCTTAGAGAGCATCTGTCAGGAGGGACCCAGGAAGGAACAATGCATTACGCCATGTTGGCTGTGTACTGTCATCCCTCATTGACAGCACATTGTCACACTTACACAGTGTCCTCTGAGCTCAGAACAAGCTAAGTAGCTGCTGCCTATAATATCAGCTCTTCCTGCCGCCTCCTATCACACCATCTGATGGGGAGTGGGGTTAATGTGGCTCATGTGTAAAATGATGCATCATTTTTAATTTAAGGGACTAATCAGTTTGATCCCAAGACCGACATAACGGTAACAATGTCTCGTGTTGTGGTGTTTCCGTACAATCCTGCGGTGATGGAAGGAAATTATGATTTATTTATTCCACCATGAAACGCAAGCACATAATTAAAACCATGGAGGGATTATCTCAAACAAATACAATTAATAAAGAAAAGAAAGGGATAATGTGCTTCCATAAAATTGGCTTTGCTGTGGGTCATAATTACACGACTCAGCGAGGGCCACTTTATTGGCTAATGGCAGCCTAATTGATTCATCCTAATGTTTTTAGAGCCTACGGTCTGCTGGGCACTCCCTGCCCAATAGTGCCGGTGAACTTACTTAGCCACCCGCAGACAGACATTGAAGGTTCTCCCAGGGATAAACAATTACAATCTGTGTGTCTGTGTGATCTGCCCCCCCACCCCACCCCACCTCCCACTCAGTGAACTGAACACACATTTTCTGTATGTCTCTAATGGATTCCATTTCCCTCTTGGAGGCGTTTCAAAGATGGCTTGTTGTCAGACGATGCCTTATTTCTCCCTCCTGTTGTTGACAAGCAATTCTCCCAAGGAGGCATGCACTGGGCTTTATTGCTGCACTTTATTCTATGCTTTAATAGGAATACAAAGATGGGACTCTTATATTGGATGTGGTTGCTGATCAATTTGCTAATAACATACAGAATGCATGTGGTGTAGTGTTGGGAGAAAACCTCTAAATGGGTTTACAGTTAAAATGCATCTCTGCAAGGATGTGTTCTGTACTTTCAAAATGGACACAGATCTATTTTACATAGTGCACTTCTTTTATAATTTCATTTTTCATCCTTAAGTGAGTCAATTCATAATCCAAATAAGTTTTGGTGCTGTTAAAGCGATTTCACTTTAAATATCTAGATTGGCCAATAAGCTAATGTAATGCTAGCTGGCTCAAAAACAGAAGCACTGTTACATTTATAAGACACAGAGTTACTCTCCATCTCTATTTGAGGTTAAGTTGTCCTCTGATATATCAAAAATATTATATACAAAAAACTGTTAACTGTGAAAAGCAAAGTATCTAACCTTGTAAAAAAAAAAATAAGGACAAAGGTAACTATAATGTAGATTAGACCTGAAGTAAAAATAGGTGTCTTTTTATAACGGATAAACAGCACACTACATTATGCCAGTAGAGAATTGGGCAAGAATGGGTGTTCACTGGTTGGTAGTTTTACTGCTCTGTGTTTTACACATGGCAAGAAAAATGTAATCAAATGAGAAAATAAGAAAAGGAAACTGGTATGGCA